CATGGGTTAATAGCACTTTATATCATAAACTATGAATTTTTAAGTTTATTATTTTAACTCGATATCAAACGCGCATACGTAAAACAGTTAACTCTCTTTAAATATTGTAACATGTTAACGCTCTTTATATATTGTAAATATTTGTGTGGGATATTTATATAAACTGGAGACATGTAAATGTTATTTGTTTTTGAAATATATAACAATAATTGTTGTAAAAAAAAAAAAAAAATTCTTTCTTGCTTCTAAAATTTTGCGCTCTAAAATCTCAGAGCGAATTATGTATAACCGAAATTTGACTTTTCTAAATATAAATAATATTCTATATAATAAACAATTTGAATTTCAGCCAGGGTTTTCAACTGACCATGCCATTATTAATATTGTTTACAATATATTTAAAGCAAACGAAAGTAAGTTTACACTCGGAGTTTTTATAGATCTTAGCAAAGCCTTTGATACAGTAGATCGTAGCATGCTTATAAAAAAAAACTCGAAAGTTATGGTATTAAAAGCATATATTTAGAATGGATCAAAAGTTATCTAAACAATAGAAAACAATACATACCACATGATGAAGGAAAAACTGATTACTTGACTATATCTTGCGGTGTTCCCCAAGGTTCAATTCTGGGTCTTATTTTGTAAAAAATTCCATCAGTTTTAAAACATTTTAAACTCAGTTTTAAATGCAGATGACACGAATTTATTTTATTATAATGGAGATGTCAACCTTTTATTTAAAATAGTAAACAAGAAATTTTTAAATCTAGCGGAATGGTTTAAGCCATGGTTTAACAATGGTTTAAACAAATTGTCCTTAAATTTAAATAAAATTTGGTATACTTTTTTTCATAGACTTCACGATAAAGAAAAATTCCATTAAAACTTCCAGATCTTTATATAAAGATTAAATACATTTCAATTTAATTTGTTTGCCAATATAGTTATATTGGGAACTCTAAATTAATTAGAGTCATCATTAAAGTTTTTAGGAAAGATACTTGACGAAAACTTGAGATGGAGAGAACACATAAGAACAATCGAAAATAAAATTTCAAAAAATACTGGCATACTATACAAAGCTAAGCAATTATTAAACCAAAACTGCTTTAAAATCTTATGTTTCTCCCACATACATTGTTATAAAATCTATGCAAATATTGCATGGTGCAGCTCTAATGTAAGTAAAATTAAAAATTGCTTAGTACACAAAAAAACGCTGTCAGAATTATTTTAAGTGCAGGTCGATTCAAACATGAAGACTACACGGGAAGAAACGGCAGGGTCACATTTTTTCCTTTTGCTATAACTCATTTTTAAACTTTTAAACCTATATAACTTTTTTATTTTTACGGAAAGGATTAAAATTTTTAAGATATATTACAAAAAGTACTAGTTTTTTATGCACTTGAAGTTGTATTTTTAATTTAAATATAATAATTTACGTTATAGGCTTTCTTTTTTAAGTGAGGTTTTTTATGGACTCTTCCGTTTTTTCCCCGGTAAAATGTCTTTTTTTATTTTATTAGTTTTTCGATCAATTAAAAATATATAATGTTAATTATTTTTTTATTAGCTTATTAATAAAATTAGGCAGAAGCTAATTTTACCAAACAACCTCACCACCAAGACCTAGTATTGACCCTTAAAAAGTCTAGGGGATCGAACTAAAATTAAAAATACTGTTTAGTGTTGATATTTTCGTTTAGAAAATAATTATAGTTCTCGTTACCAAAAGGCTTCAATTTTTGTTCTTTTTTCGTGCACAAAAGTATCACATACAGTCAACTCTCGATATCTTGAATACTTGATATCTCAAACTTTTTTGAATCCAGTCGTACCCTTATTTATGAATTATAATCTCGATAACTCGAACATTCTCCCTTATTTATGAATTATAATCTCGAACTAATTAATCGGTCCTTTGGAGGTTCGAGATATCGAGAGTTGTCTAATTAATTATAGTAATAGTTCTAGTTCTCGTTAACGATAGGCTTTAATTTTTATTATAAATCTTTCATTCAAAAATATCACTGTTGATGACAAAGTTCAATTTGTTTTTAATTTAAAAGTTAACCTATTAAATACCTATATAACTATACCTATACAGGTGTCACAAAACTGTAAGGAATAAAACTGTAACTGTGTACAAAAAGTTATTTAATGCAAAGTTTCTTTCCTGATAATAAAGGGCTTAAAAATTTTATAGGTTTAAAACAATTTAGTATTTATTTGATCTGAATTTTTATTTTCATACCTTGACTAATAATTAAAAAATATATTCAATATCTTGTGATTCTTAATTATATAAATTGTTGTATATTAAGTGAAGCAAAGAAGAAACATATTAAAGATTATAAATTTGTCAAGAAACACTAAGAAAAAAACAATTAAAAACAAAATTTAAATAAAAAAGAAGTCTATTTACTCTTCATCTTCAGAATCAATATTTTCATGAAATATCTCGATAACCTCCTGATTGTATCGTAAACCTGAGCATTGGATGTAAACCTTTTTAATACTTGTAAATTTCTATACTTTGCCATAGAGATGCAATGTTTTGCATTATACAGAATGGGGATTTCAATATTTATTGTGTTCTTCCTATTATTTTTTAAATTAGTTTTCAACAATAATCCATTCCACGAATCACGATGAAATACAATGCCACTTGAGTCTCCTCTGAAACAAATTTCACAAAGAGGACAAGTTGGAATCGGACATTTATTCTTATAAAATGGTCTCATAAAATCAGTTATACTTTTAACCATACCTTGCGTTAATTCTATAATATGAAACAGAGTGGGTTTTTTACCAGCATTTTTGAATGTTTTAATCCAATCTGATGGATCACTAGTGGGTGTTTTGCAATTAATTAATCCCAAATCTTTATCACATTCCATAACAGAATGACCACGTTCTGGGAATGTAACTTTAATAAAGTCAAACCTTTTTTTTTTCATGAACAAGAAAATCCATAAAACAAATTAATGTATAGTTTTTGTTTTAGCCAGCACATGAATCACAAAATAGCTCTACAGATCAAATTTCTTTGTCTAAATATTTTATAAAAAAACCATCGAAGTTACTTCATCAGCCCCTTTTTTAGCTATAGTTTCATCATAACAACACAAATAAACTTCATTGCTTGAAAGCAAGTGAATATTAAATGAATAAAATGCTAATTTTCGTTTGTAGTAAAAGTCGTTGGTTGATTGATTTGGTAAGTTAAGATTTTTTTGGAAATCAAAAGCAATTGCCTCAAATTTGTACTCCTTTTGTGCTTTAAACCAAGCATTTCTTTTCCTAACATAAAATATTTGTGGTGCTGTTCTTTCTGTAACTTAAGCTCATGCAATTGTTGTTCAGGCTTTGTAAATTCTGAATTAAAAGATAGTTCAATTTTTATTGCATCAATTTTAATTTTAAACTCATCGCATTTAGAACGTGTCAGTCCTAGGGTACCCAAAAGAAATGTTAAAACTTTTGTTAAATATGTTGCGATAAGATTCATATGACAATTTATTATTTCCATACTTGATTTTAAACAAGTCATACATCTTGGTTATAATTAATAGATCTTGGTATCTACCTCTAAAAGAAGAAATGATCACATTTATTTTTTAGTTGACACGAACTTATTTTTATCTCATAATGATATTACATTGTTATTTCAGAATATCAATAATGAACTAGTAAGAATTTCTGATTGGTTTAAGACAAATAAACTGTCTCTTAATATTGATAAAACGAAATGGATTTTTTTCCATCCAAATCACAAAAAAAATCTTATACCAAATGAAATGCCACTGCTTTTTATTGATAATATACTTCTAAAAAAAGTAACAGTTACAAACTTTCTTGGTATTTATATTGATGAAAATTTGTCATGGAAAAGTCACATAAAAAATTTGAGTAGTAAAATATCAAAAAGCATAGAAATTTTGTACAAAGCAAGGTGTTTTTTAAATAAACATACATTACTTAAACTATATCATTCGCTCATTCATTGTCACATTAACTATGCGAACATTGCGTGGGATAGTACTAATAAAAGTAAACTGGAACCTCTTTATCGTCAACAGAAACATGTTGCACGCCTTATTAATTTTAAGGATCGATTTACTCATGCCAAGCCTCTATTAATTGAAATGAAAGTCTTAAATATATATGAGCTTAATATTTTTAACGTTATATGTTTTATGTTTAAATGTAAAAACAATATTTCTCCTGTACCTTTTCATAATTTGTATAACAAAAAAGAAAAAACTAAGTACATTTTACGAAATGATAATAATATTCGTCAATCAGCTTATCAAACTAATTCTGGAAAATACTGTATTTCATTTCGAGGAGCATTACTTTGGAATAAAATAGTTTTAAAGAATTTTGACTTTTCTCAAGAAGTTAGCTATCACTCTTTCAAACAAAAACTTAAAAAAGTCATTTTTTTATTAGATGATATATCTATATTCTTTTATTTTTTGTTTCTTTTTTTAACTTTATATTTAACGCTGCATTAATAAATTTTATAATTTGTAAATAGTTGTTTAACACTTTTGTTAAAGGTATCTTAAAACTGTATAACAAAACCTTTAACAAAAAGTTTAACAATTGTGCTAAAGATATCTTAAAACTGTATAACGCATCTATGTATTTATAACGAAACCGTTTTTCTTTTTCTTTTTCTTTTTTTCTTTAAATTTGTTTATGTTTTCAATTCTTAATTCTTAATTATTTGTTATCTTCAAGTATGTTAAGTATATATTCCTATTGAAAGTTTATTTATTTTGAGAATATTTTATTAATACGAAATATTAACACGAAAATTTTTTAGCGGTTCTCGACGACAAGACCTTACGGTCTTCTACGAGTTCCCGCGTTCTTTTAATTTCTTAATAACGATCATGTATATATATATACATTGTTAACGAATATTTATTAAATCACAAAGTTGTAACAAAAAAAAAAAAAAAAAAAAAAAAAAAAAAAAAAAAAGTTGAGGAGTAAAATTGTTATACTGATTCTTGTGTTTACCTCTTCTATCATGGGGAGAGTGACCTATAATGAGAAAAAATATTTTTTATATATAAGAAAACTTCCGTTAAAAATTAGCATTCTATATTCAATAAAAATATATAAATTACCTTTAGTTAAAAAGCTTCTTTTAATGGTTTCTAATTTTCCATTCTTTATGCCAAAGATTAAATAAACGCTGAAAAGCAAACATAAATAAACGAACTCGTAAGTATCTCGTGATTTGTAATAAAAAATTTATATTTGTAACTGCTATTATAACCTTTTGAATAAATGTTTTGTGGTCTTCTTCTTGAAACGTTATTTAAAGTTATTAAACTTGCAAGATACAAATCTTGAGCATCCTTGCTGGATAGAGATAGGTACGTGAGTAAAAATTTGAAATTGAATAAATATTCTACTGTTGTATATCAAAAGTGTCAAAAGATAGGTGTAAGAGTGGGCTACAAACTTTTGTTAAATTCTAACCACCGGGTGTATCGGATGGACAGAGGGGACACCAAACCACCACCTTACCCGTATGAAACTAAACATTTTTTTCACAAAAGGTCTTTTTTCAAGACAAGTTATTTTAATTATACAAAAACATTGTTATAAAAATATATTTAACCACCAGAGTATATGAGAGGGGTATGTTAACGTTGAAGGTGGGTATGGTGGTGGTGGTTTGATACACTCTAGTATCAAATATGACTTAATTTCATAAATATTTTTTTCTTTACTAAAATGAATTTAATTAGTATACAATATAAATTATGTTCTACCAGAATTTACGTGGTGAAATTTAAGTGGTGTTAACATCGATATATGGGAGGGGCGTATAACCCCCACCTCAACCTAAAAGAAAAAAATATATATTAAAATAACACAACTACTGTTTCCTAAAGACCAAAACAAAGTTTTTTTTTCTATAAAAAAGGTTCTATAAATTAATACTGGACAACCACCAAACATTGAAGGTAAGTGTAAAACTCATGTTAAATGTGTTGACCATGTTTTAATACACCCTAATATCGCAAAAAAATTTTAATTATGAAATATTTGATTGGTTATTTAAAGAACAACAACAAAGAAGTAAAAAATATATCTTACTCGGTTGAAAGTTACATCAGTGTTGCATCCATTGTCAAAAGTGAGGGACTATCACATCCCCCCACCCTTTCCTTTGACTAAACATTTTTTTTAAAAAAGTATTTTTGATTAATTGGAGAATTATTTGTTAAAATATTCTCCTACGAGTGACTTCTATTATCAGCCAATAGTGGTAAAAAGGTAATCAAAAAAAGGTATTTACCAACCTTTATAAATTTTCAAATCTTTCATTTAGTGTTTAATACTAGTTTGGTTAACAAAAAGTTAGGCTGTTTCAAACTAAAAAACAAATAAAATATTATTAACACTAAACAATGTTTGATTATTTTAATGATGATTTATTTCCTAAAATTTTTTTCTTGGCTTTTAGTGAATGATTACAATGATAAATTCCACTAATGAAATTATTTTATAATCATTTTTAACAATAGACACCACGTGAAGCTAAGCCAGAGCTTTCTATCAAAAATGCATAGCAAGTTATAACACTTGCAGTACATTTGTTTAGCAAGTCACAAATTTTTTTGAAGTTTATTTAAAATTTTTTTAGGCTATTTCAACCTAAAAAACAAATAAAATGTTACTAAAAAGAAAAAATAATGGTTTATTTATTTTTTATCTTATATAGTTTTGTCTTGGCTTTTAATGAATGGTTACAATAACAAATTTCTTTTAACTAGTCACGACACTGGTAGTATTTTTCAGCAATTCACTTGTAGTACTTTTTTAGCTTAAATTTCAAACTTGTACTTTCACAGAGTTTTATTAATATAATATAAAATTAATAAAATTGTAACTCTTCTGAAATAACATCTGCAACAAGCTGGATCTTTTTCATGCAACGGTCAACAGCTTCCATATACGTTTCATCATCTTTCCAGTAAGAAATAGTGTAAACTAAACCATTTTTTCTACTAATAACTTTTTCTACTCTGCCATTATACAAAACAGGCTTGGATGTTTAGGATCATACCATTTATGGTATAGTTTTTTGCCTACAATTCTTCCATACATGACATCTAAATTATAAAGTTGGTCATTGGACAAGTTTTTGTATGAATCTATAATTTCATCATAACTCAGTTTACATAGCTAACGCTCTAACTTTTTTCTTTTTCATCTATTTTTTGGGGCTTGGATGCCTGTCTTTGCGAATTTTTGGCTCTAAATTTAGCCTGATGCAATCGATTGCTAACTCTATTTATACGCGCTAAATGAACTGAGCATTTAACAACTTTATCTCTTAAATTAATAATATAGAAACCTTACCAGCTGCAACAGATGACAAGGATATTAAAGGTTAAATAATACAATGACACAAAAGATTAAATGGTATATGTAAATATTGCATATTAAATATACATATATAGTACATAATAAATATACAATAACATAGTACATATTAAATAGTACAATACTGCATAATACACAAAATCAGACTATATTTCTTAATACATACACAAAAAAATACACATTAATCTCTTACCAATTAATGAAGTAAGTGTTGCTAAAGAATTAAAAAGAAATAAGTTATAAAAATAGTAATATAATGTTTACTAAAATAAACTTAATTTCAAGTTATAATTTTCGTTACAACATCTTTAGTTAGCGTGTATCAATAAATTAAACACCTTTAGCTTATGTATCAATTAAGTATTAATCTTTAGTTAGCATGTATCATTTAAACATTGAAATTATTAAAATTTACTAAACTTACAAATCTGCTGTCTGAATTCACCTAAAAGCCAACTTTAAATTACAAACTCTATTATAATATTAAACTTTAACACTAACATTACAAAAAAAAAAAAAGTTTAAATGACTAAATAACTAAAATAGTTCAAACTTTACTTACTAATAGTTTGTTTTAAATTGACTATAGACAAAAAATAACAGACTCAATAAAAAGCATGAAACATCAGGAATATATAAATAAACAACTGTAAAAAAACTTTGTGAATGCACAAAAATCTGCACAAAAAACATAGCATAATAAAGATATACAATTGAATATTGAGAGCAAAAGACTAAATACTAAAATAATGAATTGCAAAAAAAACTGACTTATCCTCTCAAAAGTATCATCTAAAAAACAAATGAAAAACTTTTTTTAACAACATAATAAAAACATTTGTCAGACTAAATCTACTGATCTTACGTTAAAAGAAACTAATGAATATTGAATGTATAAAATATAAATAATGTAAAAATATAATAAACCTCACAGTAATAAAGTTTAACTATTCTAGTTTCTAAAAATAATCTATAATGATATCAAATTCTAAAATGTTTTCCAACTAAACACGTCTTCTCTACGCTAGCATAAAAAAAAATCTAAAAAGCGTGGCACAGTTTTTTCACACAAAATTCGGTTCCGTAAAACGGATGTTTCTACGTACCTAATACAGAGTTAAAATATCTTATTAACACTTTTCTATCTTCTTCTTTAAGCATTTCACGCAATCTTTCCTTACTCTTTCTTTTCTTGGATTTTTTTTTAGCATTTTTATTGGTATTTCAAGTGTCGCCATTTTTATTATTTAATTTACATTAACCAAATCACCTGTGATTATTTTGAAAAATAAAGACTTATAGCCGTAAGTATCAGTCTTGATAATTCAAAAAATAAAAATGGTAAACTTGGTTTATGTCTATTAGTAAGTTGCAAATATTATTTTAACTCATTAACACTTGTCTTTTCGGGGAGGTATGTATTGTATAATAAAAAAAAAGTGATTAAGTTTCATCAAACTATAAAAGTACATCCAATTGTTTTTTTGATTTGAATTCAGATAAAATGTATGATAATATTGTTTATAAAGTTAAAAAGTGTAAAATGTCAAAATTTTCAAAATGTGACCCTGCCGTTTCTTCCCGTGGAGTCTTCACATTCTAAAGAACTATTTAAAAATCATTACATACTCAATATTTTTCAGTAAAATCTTTATAAAATTTTTATATTTATGTACAAACTTCATAATAAAGTAACTCCTATAATTTTAATACACTTTTTAATAAAATTAATCACGTGTGCCCTAAAAGATTTTCAAATTATAATTATGAGCAACCTAAAATGCACTATTCGGTTACTAAATTCTCTATTACCATCAGAGGTCCTAAATTAAGATACACTATATTAAATAACCAGCTAATAAATTGTTTTTCACTTCCTCTATTCAAACAAAAACTTCTTAAGGATGTTAAATTCTTTTAAAGATTCTTTTTTTTTTTTAACCATTCTTTTTAATGAATAGAAAATCAGTTGAGATTAGAGTGGTGTTCTGTCACGTGGCAAATATCGCTAAAAACAGAAAAGTGATCACAAATCATTAACAATATTTTATTATTAAGTATTTTTATTCCGTTTAATGTAATTAATTATTAACAAGGAATGATAGGTCTTTTAAATTTTTGTTATTTGAAGATGAAAGGGTTAGAAAAAAAATACTTTTAATTTAAAGTTAGCAAATTTTAAAACTTTTTATGCGGAAATGCTTTTTTTTTTGATAAACTCTTGACGTCAAACTCGTTTTTATATAGTGAAACAGCCGTGGTAGCTATTCGTATTCAAAAAAAAAAAAAAAAAAAAAAGGAAAATAAGATTTTCAGAACACAATAACAAAATAACGATTTTTTTTGCAAAACCGTGGTTTGTGATTAAAATTTTGCAACAAAAAAGGTTTTTAATTATAACCACTTTAACTACAGTAATATTTCATATTTCAAACGTAAGACAATATATATTAATACACCATTTTCGCAAAATATAGATGTTTCAACTATATTATTAAAGATTATTACAAATTATACAAAAGACTTTTACAAATTATACAAAAACATAAGTAAATATTTACAATATTGTAACAAATATATCATTCACTAGAAAAAAAGCAACCATTATGAAATTATCCACCAGAACGAGATCCAATCATTGTTCGAAACATACTGTAAGCGACAGGGGAAGTGTCAGTAAAATGAACAGCCCACTTATTTAATGGAACCACAATAGCAGTAACATCATCATCTGATCCATACTGTTGGGCAGTACTTGTTAGGTCAAAGCAAGCATCTGCAGGATTTTTATGTTGGTTAATTATAGAAACGATCTCGCGGTCAGTAATCGAATGGCTGATCCCGTCACTACATAACACTAAAAAAGAATCGTTGTCGACAACTCTATGTTGAATAGTAGGTTTGCTGACAATGCCAGAAGAGCGAAGAGATAAGTTTCCAAATGAACGTGTAATAGACAGACGTCCATTGACTAACGGATTAAAATGACTGTCCCAATCAATCCATCCACCTCGTTTTTCTATGCGTTGAGCTTCATGAGGATTACTTGGACTATGCTCAATAGAAAGTTCAACTGGATTTCCTTTTTCGCTTACTATAGCTTTACTATCACCAATATTTGCTACTGAAAGATAAGTTTGATTTGTTAAAAGTGCAACCACGGCTGTTGAACCCACAATATCTGAAAATATAAAAAGTCTTTTCTAAAATTCACAAACAATCAAAATACGATAACATGGCAGTACCGAGCTTAATAATTTGAATAGAATGATTATTTTAAAAACAAAATGCAAAAACAAAAAAAGCGCAAAATATATATTAACTCTAACCTTTCTCTTTAAAATTTTCATTTCTAAGATGCTTTTCAATTTCTTTCTGACACTCCTCAAAAGAAACCAAAAAAGTATTTTCTACGACTTCAAACAGGTGATCATCTGCTTTTTGGGAGAGATTTTTTTCTAGTAAATTCACAAGACGGTTTCGTACAAATTCAGAAACGTAACTACCGTTATGTCCGTCAAATACTCCAAAAAATTGAAATTTGGCAGAAACATTTCTTATAAGAAACCTGTCTTCATTAATGTGATTTCTTCCACAAACACTGCTCACACCTGGCTGGTAGCCATTCGATATCTCAAAGTTAGAACTGGTTAAAAGATTACGTATATTGTTCAGAAAACATATGGTTTTAGTATGAGGTCGGATACTTGCTAAGCTCTTACATAAATGCATCGAAAGCATATAGCATCTATAAAACATTTATTGTTAAAATAAATACTTTAACAAATACAAAAACTTTAATTTATTTAATTTTAGAAAAACAGAAAAAAAAACTACACAAAAATCGTTAAACATATCAACACTAAACCCTGTTCAAATACTTTTCAGATTGAAATCGAAAATATTAATATTTAAAAAATCTTTTTATTTCTATAATATATAATAATGAATAAATAATAATATAAACAAATAATATCTTTGAAAACTTTTTGCGCATGTAAGTTTATTATCAAGATGCAACAAAAAAATAAAAATAAAAAATAAAGCAACCACGCCCACTATTTTTACTTTCCTTGTATTTTTTTGCATGTATAAGCGACGCTTATTATGTTTGTTTTTTTTTAAGAAAAACTTTTAGTATACTTGAAAAGTTAGCAATATTTAGAATTAATAAAAAAGTTAAAAATATTTAAATTAACGGTAATTATCACAATAGAATCATCAATTATTAGTAATGGACAACTGACATTAGTATAATTATTACTCAATGTCTAAAATTATTAATGTAGTTTAAAGAATATAAAAAAATTCAAAAAACTGTTAATTTTTAATATAAATATACTCAGAATAGAAAAATAAAACATTCCGTAAAGTTTCAATAAATTCATTAAACTTTATATTAATACTTTTGCAAAGTATTATTGGGGATGGGAAATTTAACCATAAACAGGTATATCATTGATTATATATAAATATACTTAATAATATAGATAAATGTATAAACTTATCAATATATATTAATGTGAATATTTATATATACCACAGGTGTTTCATCAAAAACTTTTTATTTAATTAGAAAATACAATTAAAAATCATTCGATCGCATTTTTCAATAAAAGAACATAAAATTTATCGCTTTCTTCTGTTTCCCAGTTTACCTTCGCGTTTCAAGAGCGAATCACGTAAAGAGATTTGTTTTTCACGAAAAGATTTTTTTACTTTACTTCTTGCATTTCTACCATGAGTGATCATCATGAAAGGTTTCGATTTGACTTTTTCTTTATTTGTCGTGCTTGCGTGTTCGTTGAGTCGTTTAGGCTTTACTTTGCTGTAGCTTTCGCGACCTTCTCTACCAGCCAATACGGTAGCAAGCCTTGATTGTTTATCGTGGCACATTTTCTTGTGCACATTTTCTATTTGGGCCAAATCAATGATGTCAGACTTATCACTATTGAATTGAGCTTTACGTTTTGTGCCATGTAATTTTTCTGAAAGACTTTGTTCTTGTATTTTTTTAAAGTCTTCGTCTGTCAGAATTCTGGTTGTGCTTACCATTTCTGCTTTCTTTTCATTGTCGGCAGCAATTGCTATAAAAAGAAAATGAAGTAATAAAAATATGATGAAATTTAATTACACTTTTAAATGCTCATCTTCACAGATCAATTCACGCATTCACAACTCACACACATATATAGTACAAGCATTAAATACTTGCAAATTATACAACAGTTATCAAAAATAAATAATTGTGAAAGATGAAATAAAAAATGCAAGTATCAGAAAATTGTCACTTTACTTAAATTTTATTTTTATGAAGACAGTTCAAAGCGCGATAAATAGGTACGTGTTTTGAAAACAGCAGCATTTGGTTAATTGAACAATAATCATTTATTTTAAATTCAAATTTTATAACGAGTAACCTTAGTAATAAAATAAAATTATATTTTTAACCTTAAACTAAAAACTTTTTTACATATTTAACAAACTTTGAATATTTTTACATATTTAACAAGTTGTTTTACATATTTAACAAAACTTTGAATATTTTTCAAAAAACAATTAAAGAATTTGTTTTTAATTTGAACATTCCGTCAGTAGAAACACTGTTTCTTAGAGAAACTAGAATGGGAACTAAATTAAATTACTTATATTAAAATAACAGACACAACAATTACATATTTATCTACATTACAATTAAAAGATAATAAATATAATAAAATAATATAATGAATATAATAATATAAATACAATAAAAATTGATCATAAATTAGAGTCGGTAGGATAAAACCATTTCATTAAATATAATATACATAAAATAGAAACCTTCATCATCAGACACTTCTTCATTTTCATCTTTTTCTTCTTCAGAGTGAGATACATCAATCCAATCTTCTTCATCTTCATTTTCATCTTCTTCATCTTCACTAGCTTCTTCCCATTCGTCATCATCTGTATTATTCTCATGATCTACTTCTGAAGTAAAAAACAGAACGAAAATTCTACAATAAAACAGAACGAAAATTCTAAAGTAAAAAAAAAGTGTCAAATGCAAAAACAACTAACCACTATCTTTTGTTAATTCAAGTATCTCTGCACCAGGAACAAAAGAAACAGGTTCTAAACTACCAAACTCTTTTGCAGGATGCTCATTTAAGGTTGATGTGCTTTTAGATGGTCTACCTGTCAATTTAAAAATATGAAATTTATGTCAAAGAAATTAAATTTATGAACTATATTAATTTTAATATATGAAAAGTAATACAATCATTACTAGTCACTTCAATATTGGCAAAAATCAAGTTTAATAAAATCTAAGTATTTTTGTGCCGGTAGCGTGGCGTGAGGTAAAGAGTTGTTTAGTTCAATAGACAATGTAACTGATTGTGCGATAGCAGATGCTCTATATTAGCTTTGATTAAAATAAGGAGATTTAGTTCTTCTTATTGGTGAAAAAGTTTTTACTGTAGGATTTTTGGTAAGATATTTGGTCTCAAAATAAAGTCAGTTTGCAAATGTGTGTATTTTTATAAATATCTCATAACTAAAATATATCTAGTTTAATAATTACATACTCTTCAAAATATGTTATTTACATACTCTTTGAAAATATGTTAATTTATTCCAGACGAAGTTATGAGAGCACCAGTAAGCTGGCTGAATTTAAAAAATTTCTATATTTTTAGATCATTTAAATGATGCTGTTATTTCATTTGTTTTTATTTACCACCCAGTTATATGTTGATTGTTTTCTCAAATACTATCTATTAACTTAAGAATACTATTATTAAATTAACTATTTTATATGTATATATAAATATTTAAATATATATATATATATATATATATATATATATATATATATATATATATATATATATATATATATATATATATATATATATATTAGGGTGTCCCAAAAAAAAATTTAGCATGGATAATTTCCTGGTTATTTATGACAAAATAAGTAATTTTATCAAATTTGAGGGTTGAAAAACCCTTAGAAGTGCTAGTTGTAAAAACTGAAAAACACCGAATATTATTATTTTTCATGATTTTTTTATGTAAATATATAGATTCTGAAATAAACCTTAATACAGTATATTCTAATGTAAAATAAACATTTCATCAATGTTTACATTATACATAACAATGTTTTCAAATATAAAAAGTGTTTTTAGAAGATTACGATTTATAGTAGAGAAGAGAAGATCATCGTCTTTACTAATTGTTTCGGGGGAAACAAACTGCAAAAAAGGGAATGTAAAACACTCATTATTATTCCACTATTGATTCAGGAACTTAGGAAAGTCCACCCATTAACAGATTGGTGTTAAAATATGTAAATATTAAAAGAAAATTACATAAACTTTTAAACAAATTTTTTAGGACTTAGACAAAAGGACTTTATTGGAATGTCAAATGAGCTGCTTGACAAAAGCTGTAAAGATTTTGAGTCCAAAATCAGAGGAGACCGAACAAGGACAGCTGAGGCAATTCAGGAAGACGTAGAACTCTATCAAGACCAGAAGTCCATAAGAAAAATGGTTATTACCTCAAAGATTGACATGATCTACCAAAGGAGGGTAGATAGAAGGGAAGAGCTGAACAGAAACCTTTAAACACACACAGAAGATACAATTAATTTAGAACAAGTTGATGTCTCTGAATCAGAAACCGAATCTTGATCCTCTCAGTCAAAGTTATCTCAAGAAGTATCTTATGACGCATTAACTGATGAAGATCCTGAAGAGCCTGGCCGTCAACTGGGAAAAAGAGAAAAGATAAGCTACAGCTGTCTATATCAGCGGATGGATTAATGAAAGCTTCCAGTGAGGTAGCTACAAGATTTCAGCTTGGTGTTAGGGGTCACACAGCTTTATTATCTTCCATTCTAGGGCATGCTGGGCACAACACGGAAGACATTGTCTTTTCAAAATCTGGAACCCATAGGAAAAGATTTGAGACAATCAAGAACAAGGGAGATGAAATTAGAGCTGGCTACAAGAATGTTTTAGTTGGTAAAAAACTTGTCCTACACTTTGACAGCAAATTTTACAAAGAAATGGATTATGAAAATAATATTACTGTAAAAAAGGAAAGGATTGCAGTAAGTGTAACAGTTCCTGAAGATGATAATAGTAATGACATCTTGTTAAGGGTTTTTGAAGCCAAATCTTCCAAAAGAGAAGAACAGACAAAAGAAATAAAGAATGCATTGAAATATTTTGAAATAGAGAAAAATATTTTCCCTGTTTGTGCAGATGTGACAGCTTCAAACACTGGTGCTCATAATGGGGCAATTCAACTTATTAGCAAATATGTTGTTGGAAAGCATATTATGTGGCTTTTATGCCGCAGGCACGTATATGAGAGACACATTTGTCATTTGGTGCAATCGTTGACTGGAAAGACTAAAGAATCGAAGAAAGACCTTTATGCAAGGTTTAAAAAAAAATCGGACAAAAAGTTTTAGTGTGCAATGAGGATATTAACTCTTTAAACATATTTGATTGGAACATTTTTTAAGTTGGCTCGTCCATGCATCAGATTGCACAGAAGGCCAAGGATTTCTTGGGAAATGCAATCATCAAGAATACCTTTTTTAAAAACAGAACAGACTAGAGAAGGTTGTGTGAGTTAGGTTCATTTTACTTAGGTAATGATGTTCCAGACTTCTTACTGCACCAGCCCTCTGCTAGCCGTGAAGCTAGGCTTATGGCAGATGGGATATATATACTGATGCTTAAGCTCACCAACAAAACACTTATGTTGATAACAGAGGAGGAGAGAGAAGAAGTTAATAAAATGTTGCTATATTTTACATTCTTTGGTTTCTCAAGACATCTATCATATCACAGGCACCTTCTAATGATCTTAAGGCTATTAAAGTTGTTGAAAGCGTAGAAGAATTCAATGAAATCTTAGGTAGAAGTCTTGAGAATTCTCTTCTTAGACATACATGCTACTTAGCAGATGTCGTTACTGTGTCACTTGCTGATTCAAATGTAAATGATGAAAAAGAAGCATAAGTGATCCAGGAACTTTTGAAATCCCTCTATCCAGAGGATATTTCTTACTTTGATATTAAGAAACAAGATATCAGAAATGACATTATCATTGACAAGAATATTCAGCTGTATGAATTGTTTGGGAAAAACCGCTGGTACCTGATTTTTATCCTGAATCTCAGCAAAGAAGATGTATTGTCTTGAGTTTCTGATGGCACATTTGTGGACCTTCAGCCCAGTTTCAACTTTTTCAAGGAATTGTCTCAAATATCCAATGTATAAACGATTGCGCAGAGAGAAATATCTATCTAGTTCAAGACTTCTTGGCAGATAGTCACATTGAAAGTCAGAGACAACACATTATGCTAGTGGCTAAGGACAACAGGAAGTTTGTTGACAAGCGAATGCTGAAGAAGGATTTAAACAACTTGTGAGCTCTAAGAAATATACTATTTTTTGTTTGTTAATTTTTGTCAATCTTTTCCAGATTTATTGAAAATGGGTTGAAAATTGGATATTTATATAAAAATGAAAACCTACACCTAGCACTTCCCACATGTTTAGAGATCTCAAATTTGGTGGTTATTTTTTACCCAAGGTATATAACCAGGATATATACCATGCTTTTTGATTGCGTAAAAAAACCTATATTTTGGGACACCCTAATATATATATATATATATATATATATATATATATATATATATATATATATATATATATATATATATATATATATATATATATGTATATATATATATATATATATATATATATATATATATATATATATATATATATATATATATATATATATATATATATATGTATATATATATATATATATATATATGCATATATTTGAACACATAAAAAGTACAACCTTATTAAAACAATATGCACATTTATATCTAAAGATATCATCAAGCATATAATGATATCTTTATGTCTAATATCATAGATAAATTATATAGGTAACTTCATATCTAAGCTATAATTCAAATTTTTATATAAAATAACAATACAAAAAAATTAATTAAAATTTGTTTAAATAGTTTATTTTTGATTTTTTGATTTTATAGGTGATATAATGGAGTACATCTATATTGTTATTGTTGCAATGTAGTTCTTTACTTGGGTGTTAAGTAAGTGTTTTTTTATATGAATATAAATGCTTTCTTTAATTTTTAACTCATATTTTGAATCTTAATTTTATATAAAAAAATAGTAGTTTTTTGTTAAGTTTTTACATTTTATAGATGCCAAGAGATATTTGTTGATTATAGAGACTTTATTAGAGTTTAAATGTTCAAATATTTTGGCTGCATAATGTCTTAACTAGCATCTATGGCAAGTATTTGTAAAACTTCAAATGATGAGCTAATAGATTTTTTAATGGATCTTTTAATTAAAACATATTCCTTATTTTAAAGGTGTGAAAACTAATTTTATTCTTTGTTTTTTACAGTACTTCCAAAAGTATTGTTAATATTACAGAAACAAAAAAATATACATATATGGTAGCATTCTCTGCAATTTAACTCTCCATTACTCTCTAACTCTTGCATTCATATCTCCCCTACCATTTCCTTTTCTCCTCTCTGTTTATCTCCTGTCACATCTGTTTGCACTTCCCCTTCCTCTCCCTACAAAAGAGATATATTTTTATCTCTGAAAACAAAATATGTGTGAGTTAATTGATTGTTAAAAAAATTAATTAAAAAATAAAAATATTGTGACATTTTTCAAAAAATTTACGCCTAACCCCACATCACCATATTTACCTCTCTGTTCACCTTAGAGCTTACTTAATGAATTATCTTTTTTAATAATCCACATTTTAAAATAAAAAAGTAATTGTATTGCCCTTAATTTTTTTTATAAAATTGCTGAAAATTTCCTTTATATTTTTGACATAATTTTTAAGTTTAAAGTGTAACATGTTTGCTACCATTTTAAAAAACTTTTAAGCTTTATCTATTTATTGTGTTTTTAAATATTTGAAAAAAACTATTAAAACTATTATAAAAGGTATTCCAATTACAAATATTGTTTAAAAATGGCTTCTTATAAATCTCTAACTACTCTCTATCAATTTAATTTGAGAAGTACAAAAACGTTGAATTTTTCTTAACCTGTAAATTAGTTGATTTCTATATTTGTGATAAAACTTAGCTATTATGCATTTTAAAAATTAAAATAAATTTTTAATATATATTAAAATATATTTATTCTAAAAAAAGCAAAAAATTAGAGAGTTAACACACCAATAAAAATTTAAAACATGAGCCAAAAGAAGCCTATGAATCATTGCAGAATAACGCTAATATATTTTCAAAATAATTTCTAACCATCACTTTTTCTATACCTCTAAGTAGTCAAAAATGAAAGACAAGACCTCATCAATATCGATTAATTGCAACTGAAGCAAAAAAAAAAAAAAAGACCATTTTTTAAACACAAGAGCTTAAAGATTAAATAAAATTTACCGATTGGTGTTACTTAAATCAAATCCAGATTAAATAAAGCTAAATTGCATGGCCGTATGGCTACGAAAAAACCATTCATTTCAAAGATTAATTCTGCTAAGCATTTTAAGTTTGCCAGAGAACATACAGATAAATCTCAACAATTTTGGGAAATTAATCATTAGCTAGAAAATGATTTTTTTAATGATCTCTTGATACATTAAATAGTATTTCCTCTGCAGAGCTTCTTTAAATTGAATTTTAGAACCTCTTTCACTTTAGTGTACCTTATGGTCAAATTTATCCCAAATATGTTTTATGTGGTTAAGGTTATGGCTCTCAGGTGACCATGATAACAATTTAATGTGGTTTTCTTGAAATCCCTAATTTTGGCAGTATGTTTGGGGTTATCCTACTGCTCATGAACTGTCAACAAATCAAGAGGTCTTCAAAGCCATCATTTATTCTTTTTTAATAATTAAATACAAAAATAAATTAAATACAAAAAAATCGATTTCCTGAGATTTTTCCTTGTTGTCAACTTACTTTCTATTTGGGGGCCATCCATAAATGATGTCAGTATATAGGGGGGAAGGGGTACTGAAAGGATTGACCAGAATTGACAATAGGGAGGGGGTGTCAAGTTTATAGAAGCAGATTTTAAAGGTATTTACATCTACAATGTGGTATAGAAATGGCATATTTGCTTTGTGAGTACTTCAATGTAAGTTTTCTAGAGATATAAAATAAATTAAAAATTTACCAACGTTTTATTATTGTATTATCATTTATATTTAATAATTTATATAATTAATAATTTATATAACTAATAATTTATATATTTAATAATTTATATAATTAATAATTTATATATTTAATAATTTATATATTTAATTTCCACTGAAAAATAATGCATTAGTGCGTAAAATGAACATATTTTTTTTCCAAAAAATAAGATATTTTGTATAGTATTTTGTATATTTTACCTTCAAAATACTAAAAATAAGGGTTTTCAACTTACTTTCCAGTGCAACTGTACATAAGCTCCTTTTAAAACATAAATAAAAGACAGGTCACGGTTTACACAAAGTTACTAAAACATTGTATAACCATTATATTACTATAAAGACACTTATCTTTTATCTTCAATAAAATGAATTTTTATTTTATTTTTTGTTTGAAAAATTTATAAGTAATAAAATAACTTTTCATGTTGAACAAAATTTTGAAGCCTAATTTGTTACTATGCTTAACTTGTTGTTAACAATAATAATAAAATAGTATAATGACAAAAATCTATCTGCCAATAAAAATAATCTGCCATAAATCTGCCAAAAAAATAATCTGCCAATAAAAATATATCTGCCAAACATGTTTATCTCTTCTTAAAATATTTATTTATTTAATTAATATATACATTAAAAAGATTAAGACATCTACCATGAAAATGATTTAAACATCTACCATGCTTAATTTAAAAATACTTTGAGAGCATTCTTGACCATTAAGCTTTATTTTATTACAAGTAATAGTAATTATGTAGTCCTTTTTTTAAAATTTTTTTACAATTTCAACGACATTAATAAATAGTCACCTCTATCTTTCTTTCTTAACAAAGTAGGATCAACATTCCGATAAAGTTGCAATAGAGATCGGGCCGCCATCATCACAGTTTTACTCTTACATGTTTTGTACTGCACAAGATCCTGTAAGAGATTGTCACTCATCGATAATGGACATCGCGCACATATTTCTCTAATTGCATTTAGACCAACAGCCATTACCTGGAAAGTTTTTTCAAAATAAAGAAAAAAACTAAATAAAAAAATTACAACCAAGACTTAAATAAAATGTAAGAAATTTTTTTAAATGATATATAAAAGTCATAAAAAATTATCTTTTTAGCTTCCGCAAAAAGTAAATGCATCTTATGCAAGAAAAATCTTAATTAAAAAAATGTTTAACATTAAGTATTTAAAAACATAAGTATGATTTAAACTACTACAAGTAAGTTTAAACTACTACAAGTAAGTTAAAAATTTTATTCCTAAGTTCTAAAATGTAGAACTTAAACAACCAAATCAAAACAAATGTTATTTTCAGATAACGAACGTAGGTATTGAGATAAGGAACGTAGGTTTAAATGGTTTAAATTAACATTGAGGATTAAATAGTCTTAACTACATGAGCACAAGTATTCAATTTATAGAAAATTATTTGACATTTTTATTTGTTATTTTTATTTGTTATTTCTTTTTTTCAATCTTTGTTAATAGCAATGATGTTAATAGCAATGATGTTAATAGCAATAATATAGCAATGATGACAAGATAAAATTATGTAAAAAAAAAGTTATATTGAAAAAATTATAACTAATTATTATTTAGAAAAATTTTGATGAAAAATATAAATACAAACATTCAAAATAAGATTAGAATTAAAATAAAAAAGGAAAAATAAAATATTTTAGAAAGTAATTAAAATATTTATAAATACCTCATTATTATTTTTTTCAGAAACAAAATTATTTGCTATTGTCATAAGAACAGGTTCAATTACATCAGGAGGAACCATTTCATGAGAAGATTGAGCAGCAAACATTAACAACTTAGTCACTTCACGTTGATGTGGTTGCAAGAAGCGTTGCAAAAATGGATAAAAGTTCAGTACTATTAACTCGTGTATTCCGATAAGCCTTGCAATAAGGTTCATCACCATTAACTTAACCTCAAACAAATCTGTAGATTGCTCCACAGACTTGAATAAAGTTTCTGCAAATCCTTGTGGATCATTGATAAGATGGATAGCAGAGAAATTAAAAGAAACAGGTTTTTTCTTTTTTTTTGACTTCCTTAATAAAGACAATGCTTTCTCTAATTTACGACTTTTTTTTGCTGTTTTTTTACTGATTGTTCCTGCATAAATCAATTTCTTTGCCTTGGTTTCATTATCTTCGCTATCTGAATCACTATCATCCTTAACATTTTCTGGTGTATCACTACCTAAAAAAAATTTTAATGCCGCAACCTTGACTTTATTAGCTTTGGAATGGCATGCAGTCACTAATACATTTACAGTTTTTGCATCATTCCAAATGTTTTTTCTATATAACTCAATGAGAATGTCAACAGACATTTTTGCAGCTACAACACTATTGTCTTTCAGTATAGAAAACATATAATTTTGTAGAGAAGTATTAATTTTGTTATTTTTATTTTTTGCGTTAACTCGCTTGATATCTCCGACTATATGATTATATAGTGTCTTGCGCAAAAGTTTATCTTTAGCTTTAAGTAACTTAAAAAATAACTGCAGAACTTGAAGTGGGGGGACCATATTTTTATTGCGAAGTAACACTAAAGCCTTGCACAAGGTCATTCGAAGTTCAGAATTCATTACAGAATAATGCTGTGACAAGATATCCACTAAGTGCATAGGCAAGTCAGCTATTTCTTCAGGATAACAGTTACCAACCTAATAATAAAAGCTTGCAACATATAAAATCTAATACAAAAAAAAGTATTTATTAACCAATGATAAACATATATAAACATAAAAACAAACAAGTAAATAATAATACATAAAAAGTAAAGGTTGCAAACATAGATACAAGTAAAATATCAACAAAACAAAAAAAAAGTCAAATAAACTAAGTAAATAATATTTCGATGTAACAACTTCAAATCAGTAAAAAAGAAAAAATTATGAGTAAAAAAAAAAAAAAAAAGATAAAGATATATTGTGATTATTGAAGAAAAAAGTATTTATACAATAAACTTATTTGTTTTGTATTTATTTTCTTATTGCTGAATAACTTCAATTATTCTTATATAACTCTTGAGTTTTAATTTTTTAATTTTGTTATTTTTTATCATTTCGTGTTCATTATTAAGATTTTACTGATTGATTTTTTAGGTTTAATAAACGGTTATTAGTATGGTTATTTAAAAAAATAAACATGGTTAATGGTTGCTATACTGTAGGTATTTGCAATAATGATAAATGTTATACAGAGTGTTACCAAATACAATCTGGAAAATTATGTTTCTACAAATTGCCTGTTGTTTAAAGGGAAAAACACTTTTTGTAACTGAACATTTCAAAGTCTGCCCCAATCATTTTGTTGTTTTGCTCACTTATGAAAACTCTAATCCAACTTTTTTTAAAATGCTCAAAAAAAACTCCTAAAAAAATCAAGAACCTCTTTAAAAATCAAAACAAAACAATAAAACCAATTTCTACAGAAATTGAATCTATTTCCTCGGATTCACTAACAGCTGAAGAATTACTCTTCCAATGAAGGAAGTGGTAAAGTAATTCATCTACAGCTGCTTCACAATTATCAAGTGATTTCAAATAAATTTGAAATCAGCCACATGATAATAGTAATATATACAACATTAATCTCCACCTCTCCTAAAAAAAAGACACTAAAAGTCCAATTTTATTTAGAATAAAAGCAGGCAATAGTAGTAAAAATGTAGAGCCTAATCTATGACTAACGTGCATTGCTTTACAGCATTATCATTATGTTAGGGACTTGGATGTATCAACTTTTACAGGTTTACAAATTGCAAAAATGTTTTTAAGTGTTTTTAAATATGTTGAGCACAAAGCATCAGTTATGAAATACTGGGATGGAAATAAGAGTAAAAACTGAACTTGCGTTGAACCCATCAATTACTTCTATTACAAGATTATAAGATTGACAATAACTTATTTCCTGTGAGAATTCAAGTCTTGTAAAAAATGTTTAAACAAAAATTGTTTACAAATATATATATATATATATATATATATATATATATATATATAATATATATATATATATATATATATATATATATATATATATATATATATATATATATATATATATATATATATATATATATATATATATATATATATATATATGTTTACAAATATATATATATATATATATATATACATATATATATATATATATATATATATGTTATATATATATATATGTTATATATATAAAAATGTTTATAATAAAATGTAAAAAATGTTTAAACAAATATTGTTTACAAATATATATATATATATATATATATATATATATATATATATATATATATATATATATATATATATATATATATATATATATATATATATACACACATATAAGATAATTAACACGCATAGATATAAAAAAAATATATAAATTAAAAACAAATAATTTTTTTTGAGATATACTAAAAAAAACATCTTCTGCTATACTAGGCCACTCAGCTACTAAGTCTTTTCTGCTTAGTACAGTACAGAGTTTGGGTAAAATAAATCTAAAGTTTTTAGTTTGTATACGATTACTTAAGTTTTTCTTTTGTTGTTCTGCTGTCACTATAGCTATCACATATAACAATTTTATCACAGTAATTGATCTAGCAACAAGCTCAACTTTTTAAATTCATGTAATATTTTAAATAATTTTAAATTCAGTTGGACTTACAAACAGTTCAATCAAAAAATCTTTGCAATTTTAAAGTGGTTCGTTAAAACACTACACTATGGGAAATAAAACAAGCATTCAAAGATGCTACTTTTTTTTCCTACTTTTTCCTACTTTTTTCCTACTTAATTATGAAAAGGTCTATTAAATAGATTTTAACAAAAAATATTATTACCTGGGCAATAAACATAGCAGTTTCAGCAACAGACTCAGAAGGAGTAGATGGATTTAACTTGAAAACATCCAAGTTTGACTGAAAATGCCGCCACTGTTGAATAAACTCCTCTTTATACAAATCAGGATTGCGCTTTATAAGATTTTGCAACTGGGCTAGATTATTGGGCAGGTTATTACGGTTACGGTCACTCATTTTAGTATGACTATATATTTAAAAAACAATTAAACCTGAAATCTTGTAAAACAACAAAAAAAAATTATATTTTATAAATTCTATTTCAACAAATATTTTTTATTTTAACAGCATGAGAATTACTTTAATGTTGTAAAAACAAAACTGCACATTTACTATTATATATATATATATATATATATATATATATATATATATATATATATATATATATATATATATATATATATATATATATATATATATATATATATATATATATATATTTATATATATATATATATATATATATATATATATATATATATATATATATACATATATATATATATATATATATATATATATATATATATATATATATATATATATATATATATATATATATATATATATATATATATATATATATACTATAGTAAAGTAATAGTATACTATAATAAAGTAATAGTAATATATATACTATAGTAAACATATTATAGTCATGCATTATGGTTATTGCAACATTAATATAACATGGCACATATTATACAATATACCCAAACAAAATGCTCAATAAGGCATTATATTAAAAAATAAATAAATAAACAAAGATAGTATTTAAAATTGATGATAAACAGTTGGAAAATAAAATAAGTTAATAATTTTCATGCTACACTTTTATTTAAAATGCTTTAAACAGATTTTTAAAGCTGAACTTTTGTGCAACATGCTATAAAGATCAGATATTTAAATTCACAAAAAGCAGTTTATGTTCTGAAACTGCAAAACTTTTTAATTTTTGATTTGATAATAATAAAGCTTTGCAGATAGAGCTAATTTATATAACCTATTTTTTAATGAAACCACACCATCACTCAATGCACTTTTTAAAAACCTATATCTTCATATCATTGAGAACATATAACCATAGTTAAATCATGCAATATGCATTTGCTTATGTACTAATACTATTTAGTAATTATAAAATGATAAAAAAGAAATATACTGTCAAATAAAACTGAATTAATTTGCTGAATTAAGATTGCAGTTAATATTTGATATTTGGACATTAGAACAACATTAATTTTTCAAAACTTTTACCTTCAATAGCATTTTACAAAATATTTGAAGCTTAAACTCCTGATAATGATCCAGATGTTGCAAAATTTAATCTTAAAACAAGCTGATGAATTAACAAAATGCCTTAGTTCATTTTACAAACATTATAACCCATCCCAATTAGAAGAGATAAGCAATCTGATTGGCTATTTTAAACATTAAAAAATCTCTAGCTATGTTAATTTATTATAACTCTTAACTTTTTTTTTATGTTTACGTGAATGTAAGTGCTTTTGCCAAACCTCATCGCCAATAATAACACGATTATCACAAATATTACATATATGTTTTGCTAAAACATTTTTTTGAGGAAGAATTTTTTCAAGAGGTTTAAATAAAATTTCTTCATTTTTAAAAATGGACGCACATATGCTCAAAGCTTTTGCAAGAACATTATCATTCCATCTATTCAAATCGGTTGCATCTAGTTCAAAAATGTTTGGTGAGCTACTATTAGGTCTGGTTAGAAATCTGTTTTTAATCCACGTTTTCTGTTTTTTTGAGTACCTTATTGTCACACGCTTTAATGCATCAAGACTGCTGGAAAGCAATTGAAACTTTATATCTGAATCATTCCCTTCATATTTCAATAAGTTTTGAAATTCCTTAAATCCAATGGCTTGAAATATACTTTCTTCATAGAGTGGTTTATGATGCAAGTCTAACTGATCAAAAGCTGACTTATAGGCCTCATAGAATAAACGTATTTCATTAACCAATCCTTTATCCACCATCTTGTCAACACGCTCAGATATACGTCTTTCCAAAATCTTTTGTTCGCAAGTCAACCAAAACACAATACTATTAGGAAAACGCATGGGACCACCTAAGAATATAAAAATAAATAAAATCAAATATATATAAAAATCACAATGGATCATAGTAATTAAAAAAAAATTATCTCATCATCTTTAAAAACTAATAAACATAAACAAAAAGTTAATAAAATTACGTGAATAAAAGAATAGTGAATGGTAAAAATAAGATATAAAAATATTGGTTATAATCTTTTTTTTCTAATTTAAGAATTAAAGAATTGTTACAATATTTTGCGCAAAGATTGAAAAGTTTTCAATAATTTTACTTATAACATTGTGTCATTGTTTGATTTTGGTCATTTATCCAAATTTAAATTTTTTGGCAGGTATTGTTATTCTAAACACAATTAAAAAAAGGGTTTCTACCATAGCGTAAACCCATGAACGAATGTCTTTATATTTTCTACTTTGATTCCTATTTTTTTCTAGAAACTACTTATTAATAGCTTTTAAACTTCTAACGGATTCTCTGATTCTCAAATATCTCTATTATAATATTATAATCTTTTAACAATTTTTGTAAGTTATTAAGATCTGTTACTTCTGTTTTTTTAAAAACTTTTATTCTTCATAGAAAACAAGCCAAAGAAAACAAAACTATTAAATTACAGAAATTTATAAATTACAGAAAACCAAACTAATCCCCAAACAATTTTCAACAAACAAGATGACATTTTTCAACAAACACTTCCACTAATCTATTTTATATGTAACAAGATGCCCTTTTTTTTAATATTCTAATCCACTCTCAGCAAGGTGCAGACTACCACTATTAAGTTGGGAGTTACTAGAAAATAAAGAATAGAGTTTAAGAGCAAGGAATCAGTTGACAGAAGACTTGAAAAGTTATTGGTTGCAAGAGTCAGGAAAACATGAAGATGGGAGAGATTTCTAAATGGTTGAAGTGCGTAGAAAAAAACTAGATGAATAAGAGTTTTTTGAGAATGCAGGATGGATACAGTAAAAGGATAAAATAAAGATAAAGAAAAAAGGAGACTTAGCTGAATATGTCTCCATCTATTATAAAGTTAATTTTTTTCAAATATCTTTTTAATAAATACTTAATTTACTTTATTTTAATAAATTTACTTTAATAAATAATATAAACAAATGTATAGCTTTTCTTTATCTCTTGACCAAACATGCATAAAAGCAATTAAGCAATTTAACTCTAGTTCAATAGCAGGGAAAAGCGGGGCGTATAGGGAGACTTTAGAAACAAAATCTAGAAGTGGATAAACTAATCATAGTTAACACTGTTTTTTATAAATTTCCTTAAATTCAGTGATATAAGAAAACAAAAAAAAATTAAAAAAAAAATTCTAAAAATATGCTATGACAACCAAAGTATATACGAATATGTATAAGCAGCTTTTCTAAATTTTTTTTTCTAAGTTCTAAGTTTTTTTTTACTCACAGCTAAAACTGCATTTCTTCCCATTTTGGATGATTGATCTTTCTTATGTAATTTCTTATCATCTTTGTTTACATTAAACACTATTAACAATAGAAGTTAAGTTATAAAATTAGGAATTTCTATGAATTTATTAATAATATTGCTCTTCTAAATAAGGAAAATAATCTTTTAGATTAAAAATCAAATCATCAAACTGTTAACTCCATCACCAAATGGTAGTAATATAGTTAATTAAATAAATAACTTTTGTCTAACTATTAATAATTTTTTTCCCGATATGCCCCACAAAAGTCATTTTACTGAAATTAATACTACTGAAAAAGTTAAATTTCAGATATTTTTTTAAAATCAGATTCCAAAAGAGGATAAAAAATGCTGTCTGAAAAATATAAACTTTTTATAAATAAAGCAAATTAGCAATAGTTTAACTTTTTGTCGTTGTATCGCTTAAGAAAATACGCAAATTTTGTCTTTTGCAAACTTACTGATGCATTTTGGTACTTTTAATGCATTTTTGGTATTTCTAAAATTAATTTTTTTTACAGTAATAAAGCACAATAAATTGAAATGTTTTATGAAAAAAAATTTTGAAATCAAATTTTTTTTTGGCTGAGATATAAGAATTAAAATCTCATCTTTATGGTAGTCAGTGAAATAAAATGATCTAGATTTTCCTTATTTCTAAAACTTTTAAAATATAAAAAAAAAATTACAAAAACAAAATATTTTTGGAGGGTTAGGGGAGCATATTGATTACATATGTTGAAAATTGTAAAAAAAGTACCAATTATTGAATATTAATAACTAAAACTTTCTATTTCAACGTAATGTTTTCTATTTCAACGTGCCAATTATTCTTGATAAAAAAAAAGTTTTTAACTTTTTTTTTAAATATGCTTTTAAAACTACAATTTTCGTCATACAATTTCCTTAATATTGTATAAAAAAATGTTTCCAACAGTAATATTTGTATTGCTTTATGAAAAAATGTTTCGTTTCAACAGTAATATTTATATTGCTTTATGAAAAAATGTTTCCAAAAGTAATATTTCTATTGTTTTATGAAAAAATGTTTCGTTTCAACAGTAATATTTATATTGCTTTATGAAAAAATGTTTCCAAAAGTAATATTTATATTGCTTTATGAAAAAATGTTTCCAACAGTAATATTAATATTGCTGGTCTCTCTGTAAAGCTTAAAGGAGTCAAAACTTTCATTAAAGCTTTTTAAGGGTAAAAATGTTCAAAAATAATATTAATATGCATTATAACAAAATAAATATTTTAACAAAACCCTTATTTAATAAAATTTTTTGTAATAACAGATTTAAAAATAAAATAAGTTATTGCTCTTTTAAACTTAACAAAGAGTTGTGAAGTTGTTTGACTCTAGAATCCTTGAATAGTTTGCAAATAATTTTAAAAAGATTAATTAAGCCAACAAATAAGAAATTTTAAAAAGATTAGCCAACAGTACTAAACTTATTTGTACTAAATTAACATACTTCTTTTATTATATAATTATATAATGGTCACTTAAGCAGTGAATACTAAACTAATTGTAACTACTTTGAAGTTAATGATCACACACTAAACTAACTTTAACTATTTTGAAACTAATGGCCACACACTAAACTTATTGTAACTACTTTAAAAATATTATAACAGTATCACACTATAGGAAGACATAAAAAGTATATACTCCACTGGCTGGATCCATCTTCTGTTTTTTGCAACTTTAAAAGCTCTGAATGTTTTTTACCAGATTTCTCAAAAACTTCTAAACTACGCAAAACCTTGCGTTTGTTGTTTGGATGTAACTGTTCTGCCCTTTCTGGATCAACAATTTTCAGGGTGTTAAACAAAGCTTCATCTGTGTATTCATTATATTTTTCTTGAAACTCTAAGTTATAA